ATATGTATATATATATATATATATATATATATATTAGTAGTTTGTTATTTAAAAGATGTTCTCTTTTGTGAGGTATTATACACTGAAATACTGGCATTTCATCCTGTAATGCAGTGCCATAACATGTTATTTGCTTCTTGTACTGACTGGACATACATATCTATATCTATATCCATATCTATCTATATCTATATAGATATAGATAGATATGGATATAGATATAGATACAGGACAGCAGCAAAAACAGTAAAGCAAGCACACAAAGTTCATGCACATAAAAGCAGCTACCAGTCAGGGCTTTAAAACACAGAGAGCAATTGTGCCACTGTGGTCCTGTCTATGTCATGACTTAGTTTTGAAAGAGTGTGGCGGACTCAGGTGCCATGTGATGCTGCCATGTGGTGAGAGTGTTCACCAGAGAGAAGGCGACTACGACGAGAGGCCTCAGCAGCCAGAGCACAGGAGATCTCAATGCGCTTCTCTTGCTCCTGCAACTGCTGCTGGGAGCTGGCTGGAGCTCCACCTTCCACTGGGCCGTCCAGAAGGGGAACCATATTCTGCAGACTGACAGGAAGTACATGAATGTGATAATATTCATAAAAATTTAAATCTCTCAATATATATATATTTAGTAAATTTATAAATAGTTTGCTGCTTTTTAAGAAAGCCCTCCATAAAGCTAGAACATCTTACTATTCATCACTGATTGAAGAAAATAAGAACAACCCCAGGTTTCTCTTCAGCACTGTAGCCAGGCTGACAAAAAGTCAGAGCACTGTTGAGCCAACCATCCCTTAAACGTTAACTAGTGATGACTTCATGAACTTCTTAGAGGAAAAATCATTGATAACCACAGCCATATTATAGCTTTTATACTCTGGAGTGGACCGTACTTCAGAATCTTGTTAATGCTACTGAGGAGGAGGACATTTCTATTTGCTCAACAAATATGAGGAAACACACAGACTGTTTGTGTGCAGTTTGTTGCACGTTTGATCTGCTAGCTAAACTTCTAAGGGAGAATGCAGAAAAAGAGCTAACTACACACAAAGATGGAGAAAGATGGATAGGACAGTGGAAAACGAAGAGAGGCTAAGAAAGGTTATATAAAGGTAACGATTGCTCAGTGATACTTGATAAGCTGTAAATTTAAAGCTTTTTTGTAATGTCACATTCATTAGAATTAGAATTTAGACTGGAATAACATTCTCATGTACTAAAATTATTTTATTATTATTATAGCACAAGGTTTAGTTAAGTTTGCACAAAAATAGCTGACAGAATTGTTCTTTAAGGAGCTACTTTTTACTTTCTTACTTTGTGTACATTTCAGAGCCTGTACTTTTTCACTTTTACTCGAGTAAAGAAGTTGCTTCACTACTTTAAATTTCACTGGAGTCTTTTTTGTGAAAGTCTGTAAAACCTCACAGTTTGTACTGACAAGTATGCTTAGTTATGTGTCAGTTTCATTTCATTATATACAGTAAATCCTAGTCTGATAAATTGAGTCAATGTAAAAGAGTCACACTGTTAAAACTGAAACGTTTCCCTTTTCAGCTTTTGTATTGTCAGTTTGGGTTCCTCAATAGATATTGTACTTATTTTAGGTACATTGTTTTATATGTTTTTAGACCTGGGACATAGTAATTCTTCAAATTTTGGGGTATATAAAGTATTCCTTATTCTTACAAATATCATGGTTCTGGGTCCTTTTGACCCAGCATTTGATGTTTTTATGAGCTGTTGTATTATGGTTTATGATTCTTTGTGGTATCCTGAGTTTATTCTGTGTTAACCTTTGTACTATGTGTCTCCCTCTGTGCATCGGTGTTTATTTAATTGTGTGAGTGCTTGACCCTTGTTTCCCCTCCTTGTGGTCAGTGTTGGGAAGGTTACTTTTAAAATGTATTCCACTACAGATTACAGATTGCATGCGCCAAAATGTATTTTGTAAGGTATTCTGTTACGTTACTCAATGAGAGTAACGTATTCTGAATACTTTGGATTACTTAATATATTATCGTGCTTTTTACAACTACATGAATGTCCTATTGCTGTGTGATTTATTACTATTACTGAAGGTTACTCACCATACCAACACCAACTAGATGTTTAAATCTTAATATAAATGAGTAACAGTAGGTGGACATTAGGTAAGGCTGCACCTTTTGCAGCGATCTCGTATAGAAAACTATATAAAACAGGTCCGCGGCTCCCAACCGTAGTAAAGGGACCTCTGGCTAATACGTCGGGTTCGTGTCGGGCTCGTAGCTGAAAACTAGCTTTACTTTGTTGTCTGGGTCAACTTTGCTAGCGAGAGACAGAGAGAGGCGTTGAAAGGCTGCTCCAACGGAACTTATTGTTTCAGAGGAAAACACGAACACGGTGTACAGTCGAGTCTTAATAGCTGACTTACAACTGGGCTCCACTGCCCATGAGGCTACATTCTTTAGGGCTATGCCTGTAACACTCTGCCTATTGCCTTCAAATTAAATAATTTTTTGAACAATAATTTTTTAAAATATTTCTTTACGTCATTATGCGGACCGCAAGTAGAGCTGTCATAGGCCGTGAGATTGAGACACAGGCTTTAGAGCCTCTTAATGCATGTTTTGTTTGGGTTTCCACCGGCGTGGAATTACCAAAAATAGAGAGAGCATAGCCTAACATATGAAACAGTAAAAGATCGCTTTGTAATCCATTTATTTCAACAAAGTAACTGTATTCTGAATACCACCTTTTTAAATGGTAACTGTAATGGAATACAGTTACCCATATTTTGTATTTTAAATACGTAATGCCGGTACATGTAATCCGTTACTCCCCAACACTGGTTGTGTTTTATTTCATCATGTTTCCCCAGCCCAGTCTGTGCTCTCCCCCATGCTCCTCTGTAATCTCTCTCCCCCTCTGTGTACTTCCTGTTTTACTTTGATAGTCTCCCGTCAGTGTACGTCATGTTGTGTTTGCTCCTGCCCTGTCTCGTTATGATTATTTGTCTCAGCTGTGTTCCCCGTGTGCTCCCACGTCCCTTGTTATCTTTCTCTGTATTGTGTCCACGCCTCCCTCAGTTCCATGTTGCGTCCTCCCTCATGCTGTGTGCGTTTCACTCTGTGATTCTCCATGACTTTTGTTTATATTATCCCAGTGTAGTATGCATGCTTTTTCCCTTGAGTCAGCAATAAAGCTGCTTTTTGAGTTTGCATTTTTGCCTCTGTGAAGTCTGCTTTTGGGTCCGATATCCTGCCTGCCACTCAGCGACTCATGACAACAAATTGTTTTTCTAACCACAGTTCACTTTTGAATATCTTCTCCTTTTATTATAAAGGAAGAGGTAAAAGATGTTACAAATTTAAAATGTGTACAGCTTTAAATAAACAGACTTTTGCTAGAAATGTAAAGGAAGTTAAAACTGTACTTTGATTTGGCAATAAGGGTCTTGATTCGTTCTAGCTTCTTCTGCTTCTCCTTCTGCTCCTCTGGGCTCAAGAGAGTGTTATTCTCCACATCCAGGTAGCGCTCAGGGATCAGAACCTTGTCAGGAGCCATCTTTTATAACAAGAAAGAAAGAATCTCTTTTATCTTTGTCTTTTATGATCTTGGACACAAAGGCAAGCTATTATGACTCTATTGTGAACATACCTGCCTTAAAATAGCCACAAAGTTAATAAATGATTCAACTTATTTCACCTCTTTGCCGATGTTGTAATGTTCTGGTTCAATCTGTAAACGTCTCAGACGAGCAATTTCTTCCTCTGGTGACTCTTGCCCCTGTCCTCGAACTGCCTTCTCTAAGTCTTTGATGTCAATCTCATGAGCTGTCAGCCGCCTACGAACCTGTGAATACAAACACAAACTAGATAGGACACACAGGCAGATACAATCAAATCATCAGCTAGCTAAAATGCGTATACCCTAGTCATACAACTTTGGCCTATCTCAATCACTGGTTTTATATTTGTAAATATTGGCAATGTTTTTCAGTGGATTATCTTACCCCCCTGGAAGTACCAGAAATACAAACAGGTGGACAATACGCATGGTACATGGACTGGTTTTTACTTTCCTACAATATCTGAGTGCCCAAAGCACTTTACAGAATTTGCCTCATTCCCACAAGCACTTTTTCTATGCAAGTGCTTTCTATCTAGCATTCACACACATTCATACTCCAATGGACGCACTGGAGAGCAACTTGGGGTTAGTATCTTGGAAAATTTGACATACAGACTGGAGCAGGCAGGAATCGACCAACCAACCTTGCAATTAGCAGATGACCTTCTCTACCTTCTGAGCTACGGCCACCCCAGCGTGATCAGTGTAAAGTGATCTCTATCATTCTGTCATTTTTACACATGAACTGACGGTGTTGGAGAATCACATTCACACAACAGGAGAAGGTCCATTTCAGATAAGTTGTAACTACTTGGTGTTTACATGGGTTATGTCTAGCTATTGTACCCAAGTGAGTTTGCTAGACCACAACTTTCTCAGATGGGCTCACATGGAAATTACAAAGCTTTGTACTGCGGTAGGCAGGTATGATAGCAACAATTTGGGAAATCTGGGAAATGTGTGATATTGAGAAAAATTTCAAGCTGCAGTACATGTGTGAAAGTTCTTTCACACATGTACTGCAGCTATGACTATCATCTGAAAAATAAACACATACATGATTCATTTTTACTTTACCAGCTCACTGTGACAATACTACAATTAAATACATGACAAGGATCACCATTAGCTTGCTCATACCACTTTGTAATTGGCTGGAGACTGGCCTCCTGACAGGTTTAGGCTTCTCCTTTTGTCCCTCATAGAACTGCTCTGGTTGCGACGAAGTCGCTCATTCTGTTCCTCCACACTCATCTTCATCTTAATTTCTGTGGGAAAAGCAGCACTTTTTGGGCGCTCCTGTGACAGAGAACAGGCTTATTTTTAGAGATAATTTCTCTCATATAAAAATATAATAAAATGGATTATAAATAAATGAATGCTGTCAGTGATAATCTCGTTAAAATGACGTTAACGCCATAACCGCATTAACGTGGCAAATCTCTGTTATGGTGGAGATTTGTGGTTATGGCGGTTATGGCATTAATGTCATTTTAATGAGATTAACGCTGACAGCGCTAAAATGAATATCAACCTTATGACATCACTAACCCTTACATTGTCTTAAAGAGACACCACACCACTGCAACTGTTACAAGTATGCACCACTGCCCACTTTGGAGTATGAGATCCACTTGCTTGCAAGTGAGTTTATTAGGGGTGCAACGATACTCGTATCGATATTGAACCGTTCGATACAGTGCTTTCGGTTCGGTACGCATATGTATCGAACAATACAACATTTTTAATTTATTTTATCAACTTTCCTTCTGGCGGTGCTGT